TTATTGATGGGTGACGCACATATTGAAGATTTTGTCAGGACAGGTTGGATTGGAAGCACATTGCTGTCGCTTTATTTTTGGTAACTCCTCATTTCATTTTCTTATTTCTTTCTTTTACCTTAAATCCTGATTTTTAATCATAATTTTAGTTGATTTTAGTTTACTTTGTTTATTATGAGTAAAAAACACATTATTATTTGAACCAATTTTTTATATCATTTATGATTTTATTTTTCGCATTAATCACAACATTTGATTGACAAAATCTACTACCCTGAAAATATATTTTATATTCTATAATAATTTTATGCTACTAATAATAAATAATTGAACAAATAACATATCAATACGAAACTCGTGAGAAGGGCACAAGATTAATTTACGATATGTAATGATATTTTTTACAATTTAACAGCAGACTAATACTAAAAGATGAAATGATGAGAATACTTGATTAATACTTCTTGAATCTATTGCTACATAAAGCATCTGTCCGCAGTCACCGCAAAAAGCATAATGGCAAAACAGATATTTATTTCAAATGTTAACGAGACAAAAATCTCTTTCTTGTTTCAGAGGAAGAGAAGATAGCAATAGAGGGGGAAAGAGATTCAGCTCGACGAGTTCTTCGACCGATGAAGGTTGTTGCAGCGCTGAAGGTGATTTAGAAGAAGGCCCAAGCGGAGACGAGTTGCGCGAGGCGCAAATCAAACTTGAAGAGCATAGATTAGGCCTAGATCACGATATCAGTCAACGAATTGACAGTCAGATAGTCAATCGAAGATTAAGTGATTATCAACATCATTTTGATAACCCGCTTATGGATCCTATTGATCCACCCAGTCGAACAACTTTGTTTATGGCGGGCGGCAGCGGTAGCTCATCATCGGAACTCTTCGAGTCTAGCTTCGATTCTGGCTGTCCGCCAGATTATACGGGAACGAATTGTTTCACGAGCAGCTTACCATCTTGCACGCCACCGCCACCCAAGAGTCCATCCCCAATCGCTGGTCGAATATCCCGAGTCTCTCAGGGACGAAGAGCGTCCGATGGTGGACCTAGATTATTATTCTGTCAGCAAGGTGTCAGCGATAGACCATCCAAGCAGAGAAGTATTCAAGGTGCGTCACGTCTGTTTATTTGTTTGACAACGTTCGTAACTTCATGATTTACGATAATGCAATAATTTAATCGTTTTCAGATTCGGGAAAAGCTCGAGGTCACCTGGATTTAGTCCATCTTAGACCACCGTCCACACCGCCCGATAATCAACAGCAATTTAAGATACGCGGCGACTCGGGCACACAGCTGCAGCTTCTAGTGCAGCAACGTATGCTGCAGCAAAAGCGTAATTTGTATCACCGACACAGGGGCGGCGGTAGTCCGACCCCGATCCCAGTTTCCACCGCCGGCAGCACCAGTAGACGTGCCGATCACGTACCGAGGCAAGACAGCTACAAGCTGGCACAACGTACACAGATTTTGCCGCCTCTCTCTCAAGGACACGTCGACAGAGACTTCGACAGAGATAGAAAGCGAGACGAGGAGAGGTGGAAGAGTCTACCGTCCCGCTTGGCAGCGGATTGCCAGTTGGCGGAGAGGTCGCTTATATGGAGCCAGCAGGTAAATTCATAAAAAAAGTTACCGAAGTAAAAATAGATAGATCGGGCAAACGTACGAATGAGGCGATATGTACAGCTATTGGAGCGCTTTTTACAATTGGACTGTGATTTTGACACTCTCTATTTGGAGGAAGTAAATTAATCGACATCGTAGAAAATTACACTGTAGAAAATGAAACTGGAAAACCCTTGTACATAGTTCACTCAATATAGAAGATAAGATTTTTTTTTTATTGAGAGTGTTTCGGCATTATTGTAAATGCTTTCCACATTTGCAATAGTGAGCTAATGTACATAATGTTATTTAGTACCTACAATGTTATTTAGTACCTGCGATTTATTAGCACAATTATTTATGTTAAATGCAAATAAATGATTATTTTTCTTTAATTTGGCAGTTATCTTTTATTCTAATTTGCCTTACTGTGCATGAACCATCCTTGATATAAGATTATATACCGTCTTGTTAGCAATTCAAACTTATAACGCACTTCAAACTGGAAACATTCAATATGAAAAAGACAATATTACTGTACAATCGTACAGTTGATTCAATTTGTATATGCAATATGATAAATATTCTTACAGTATTATATCTTAATAAAATAAAATTTCAAATTTTTATATCTTTACATTTTCGTATCAATATAATCAAGCAATCATGCATATTTTTTATATACAGATATACTTATATATACACATATATATATATATATAATATCCATAAAAAATATTTCATTATAAAATTGAAGTGTCTACATCTCCCACAATGCTTCCATATCATTTTGCTTGGCACATATTTTCTCCAAGAATACATGCATATAGATACAAAAGTATAAAAAAGAAATTAATTATTCATGCTGGATATTAAATAATTGATACAATATGAAACATTAGGTGGGTCTTAGTGGAGGTGCATCTTATTTACCACCTGGCAGTGTAGGTGGTTTCTTGTGGCCCGCCACCAGCAATCCACATTCAACGATCTTCGAGAATGTTGGGGATCCAATGGAATAAATTTCTGCTCTGTCGTTATTAGTAAATGCCTCGAGATCTTGCGTATGAAAAGTCAGCTGAATTATTATATCAAATTTCAGCAATGTTCCCTCCCTAGTCTTTCCACGTTAACTTTTATTAACATAGTTGCATATCATTTTGCATTTGATAGAGAAACGCTAAGGTATACGAAGAATTTAATAACGTTCACTCATCTATAATAATTATATATCTTTACATACTCAAGATCTCCGATTAGATGTATGGTACATGTTACTAAATGCCAAAGATTTACAAATTTGTACTTATTGGTCTATCACGTTAATACTCGAAGATTTGGTTAACGCGCTAAAAATTGCGTACAATATCTATACGAATCATTCACTATTGTGCTCCATTTCACAAAAATATACTTGTCAATGTTGTACATCTGCATGAGTATACACAAGATATACATATATGTCCCCAAAAAAAAGAGTTCTCATGCAGAGGAATCTTTATCATATAGTAACACGTATACCTGCCTTATTAAAATGACTGATTCTACCAGTCAAATATCCAATTATATCATAGACTGATAATTAACAAACTAAAACACCAATCGAGTTTAATTGAAGAGCAAATGGCATATGACTTGCTTTTGATTGAGAGTATGAAGGGGAAAAAGAAGGAGAGAGATAGAGAACTGTGGGTTTTTTAAGTATTGTTAACTGTGAGGTTTTTAATTGACGGATTCAGATAGACTTAGATGGCTTTGAGCTCGTTCATTTCCATAACCGCTCATATGTATAAAACGAATAACGGAATATTACGAATTTACGCGATATAAATCCTTAGAGGATATAATTCTGTACTGCCAATGAGTGATAGAAATGCGACTGCTCAAGTTGTTGACGAGATATTATAAATACGTTATAGAATAAGACATAAGAAAAAAAAAAACGAATATTGACGATAAAGAATAACAGCGACTGAAATAGGATTAAAGTTCTTATGACAGCGGAGCACCAAGTACTATGCCATTTTCGCTTTTCCATTAATTTAATTGAAGAGTGGAAACACGACACGGGTTAAAAAGAACTTTTTCGTTATGTTTTTTCAATGAACGTTCCATTGTACAAAATTAGAGATGTTTTCCTCTTCCACTCTTCACAATGGTGACTATAGAAAATAGAAAAAATAATAACGAAAAACAATAATATTAGCGGTAAATAGTAGCTAATGTGTCAGAAGTGCTGCATTCTGTAAAGATGTTTAAATATATTATTTACTATGATCATTTCCTACATAAGCATAAGTTGACTGCATTTTGTATATGTTATCTCTTTCTAGAAACGTTTATAGCCACTGTATTAACAGCTGCACTACTTTTATACGAGTATCTTTCATGAATCATTCACTGATATTCTCTAAATATGGTTTCGTCTAAACAGAATATCTTCTATTTCGATAGCTCTGTTTTATGAGCTTCTTGCGTAATTATAATTAATTAGGAGACATTGACGAGAAACAATAATAATTACGAAGCCATTTGTACATTTGATATGAATACAGCACTTTAAAAACAATATACATATGCATACATATATTATTAGAACCTAGTGATCTAGTCAGTAGCAAGCAATACCGGCCGCGCACAACTCTGACAACGACTTTACTATTCAAATTTTTCGCCATTTTTTACCCGACAGGAAACAATCAAACTTCGCTCAAAAATCTTTTGATAAGTGAGACATAACTATTAAGTTAGCCTAATCGCAAACGAAATCCACTATCTGCAAACGGACATCAATGCAAGGTATCCATGAATCTCAGGAATTGAAAATCAATTTCGGCATTGTTGCGAATTCTTATGCCTGTCTTTTCTGGACTCACATAACTCTTTGGATTGCGTAAAATAGAAATCCAGCACGAAGTTTGGTAGCAATAAATTAATTTCACCTGTCTATCAAAACAACTATACGACTTCGACGGAAGATTCTGCGACAATTACATGTGATACTACTTGTTTTATATGTAAGCTATCGTTTTAGAAATATGTAATCTGTTTAAAAACAAAGACTACAATCCGTTTTGCGGAAGTAATTATTTGCTATCAAACACTGACTGCCATTACAGACAATTTGTCACAAAGAAAAAACAATAAAGAAAGAAACTGACCTGAAAAATGGTTGCTTATACATATATACAATATAATAAATTTCGTTTTTCATGTTCTTAGCAAAGTGCGCACATACTATCACTTCAACAGTCATATACGATAGTAAGTAGTTACTTTTTGTAAATTGCAAAATTGTCGACATATGTATACATGCGAGTTCTAAATAAAACATATACAGATTGAGATCCAAATATGTTTCGAGCATGAGAAGTTTTCTTTATTTTGACACGATACATATCCACAGAAGAAATTATATTTACATTAGTGTTATAAATTAAAAAATCTAGCAGAACTTACAATGGTTTCTTTTCAGAGAAAAGATCACAGCCTGTTTTTTCAGCTTGCTCCTTGGCTTGCTGCGGCGTGAGCTTTTCGTATTCACTAGGATTTAAAGGCTCTCCGTTCTCGTCCAACTGACCACTTGCAAAGTCTTCTTTTATCTTTTTAGAATATACTACATCAAACAAATCTTGAGCAGTTAATTCAGGCTCTGTAATTTCTCCTACTCTATACGATACGTATGGTTTCAATGTGAAACCTTCTAATGAAGGAACAATTAATTCAGGAATCATCTCTGGCACATTAATAAATCTATCACCAATTTTGTATCCAGTATCCCTTACACCTCTTTCTGTAATTTATTATAGCAACTTACTATATATTATTCCTAATTTACAGTCCTAATTTTTCTATAAACTAATCTTTCTCTACATCACTTAAAATCCTTTTACTCTCTATTTATGACATATAGGAAATATATTTTATATACAAATAAAATCAAATCATATTGACTTTTATCAAGATAATGTACTACTCCAAAATGTTACGTGTTGAAACTAACAACTTACTATCTATTGGTATGTCAGAATCTGGATTTTTTCCTTGTTGTTGTTTGAAGTTGCGACTACCACGTTTACCATATAAGAGGAATTTGCGAAAATTCCGCTTTCCATTACAAACGCAGGAAGTTGTGATACTGCGTCGTAATATCATAAATGAAGACGACATTGTCAATCAAGTTGTGCTAGTTAGAAAACTAGAAAATAAAAATTACACAAATCGAATTATGATATTATAAGGAACCTGTTAATATTTGCAATACAAGGATTATGTTAAACATAATCTATATACAATTGCAATTACTACGACTCAACAGTAAAGGGCTAAGAAGGCATCTTTGAAATCATCAAGATAAAACACTGGGCTAAAGTCAAAATTATTTACAATCATATCAAAAAGTTAAGACGAATAATCCGAGAGTAACAATATATTCAGAATTCTAAAAAGGTGTCGTATAACCTCAAAAACAGATTAAAAGCACAGAATCCACTAACCGATGGGATTAACTCCAAAAATCTCTTAGATAAATTACAACTTGTATCGGAGATAATGCATGGAATAGATAACTTTCCATTTAGTCAACAAATCGACATAAATCTATTTTTCTTGGTATTCCATGAACTTAACAAAAACAGAACGTGACTTACGTTACCAAATGGAAAACACCCACTGACTGATGTTAAAACGTTGTATTTGCTATTACTATAAAATCTTAAAATTCACAGTATCGTAAAATAAAGAAACTAACTCACTCTGTAATTTGTATTGATAGATCAACTGAGATTAATCAAGCAAGAGCATTCACTCTCATTCTACGCCATTATTATTTTACATGCGACAAATACATCAATATCATACATTGGTAACCTTCTATCAAAAAACTCCTTGGGTAAGTTTGTAAGATACCAAATTAAATAATCGGCTGTTGATTATTGGAATATATTATAATATATATATAATATTCTCGACTGATGGCATAAATATCTAAACAATTATTTCTTTGCAATTGGAGCCTAAAATATACCACTGAATTAATTTCGCAACTTAACTTTTAAATATGTATAGCAATTGTTATTGTTACTTCCAGGGACTGCGACGAGAAAACCCGGGATTAATTCCGATCTTATACAAGAATCTCCAACGGGCGAGGAAACACCTAAACTAGACTTTGTGAATGGACTTTACGGAAAGTGACGAGGAATATTTCCATGATGAAAATAATTACGATTTTCCATCGGTACAATCACTACAAACCACGCATTTACTGACATCCATCTGACGCGAGGGATAGCGATGAGGTCTTTGTGTGTGTATATAATAAATTAATTACTAAAAGATACACTTATTTAATAAATATGTATACTATTAGAAATACGAAGAAAAATTGACGATTATTCTAAACATCAAATTTTTAATTAGAAGTCACTCAAAATTACTAATGACTTAAAGATGATGTATATATATGTATCCCTATCTACGTATTATATAATTTGCTGATTAGGTTTATTATGTGATACTTTTTAATTTAATTCTATTTATATTTTTATTTTTAAAATAAAATTTAATTATCCGATCGTCAAATTTATTTAAGTGTCATTTAATTTGTAATAATTTAATTTTTTAATTTAAAATGGTTGTGTTTATCCCTACCTATCCATACTTATTATCCCTATACAGTCTCTATTTATTTATACTTGTCCTACCTACCCGTATTTTCATTTATTCGTGCCATATAACAAAGCTAATGAAAGTCAGCGCCGATAATCAAGCGCAAGTTTTGTAGATTTTTTTAATCTACAAAACTTGCGTTTGGTTATCCGCGCTGATTCTCATTAGTCCTGTTATTTGTTGGTTATTTTTGTATTTTAAATAAACTATAATTCCGAAAATATAAGAACCCGCAATTTGCGAGCAAGTTACCCTCCCGAATACTCAATTAATCTTTATACACTGAGAAAAAAAAATTCGTTCAACTAACTACACACATTTAGTTGTTTGCAGATTAGGTTGATTCGACAAATTTCATTTAATCGAATTTAACTGTAGTCTGCTTAACATTGGACAGTTCGTTAAGCAGACTACGGTTAAATTTGATTAGGTAAATAAAATTTGGGTAAATCTGGCAATCCGCGCATGTGATTGTTAATTTTGCTACTTACCCAACAGGTAAAATTTACCAAAAGGTAGAACAACCGGCCCTCGATAAAATAATCAAATCTGCAAATAATTAGATAAAAGGAGAGTTACTTAAAAATTACTTTAAAATTTTATACAAATTTATTTTTGCTAAGATCTTCTTTATAGAATATATATAATTATTTTAGAGAATATATATAATTA